GGATTTCTAAGTTTCATTCTCATCTATTCATTCATTTCCTTCTACTTTCTTCACTCTTTTGCATCCAATCTCTGAGGTCTCCAATCTCAAACTTAGGAGAATCAACAATGATTGGTGGAGGGCAAGTTAGTAATTTGGCTTGGGTTCTAAAAATATCAGGCAAAAAGGTGGAGTCTTGTGGTTCACCAAGCTTCATGGACAAAGGTCTAGAATCATAGTTTAAAATAGTTTTTGGGGTCAAAATACATTTTTCCAAAAATACTTTCTAGACAACCACTTAGTTTAGGTTCTATAGATTTCTCCCGGTTTCACTCAGATTGACTTTTGGCTAAAAATCTTGATACGCAATGTACCTGGAAATTTAGGGTTTTAGAATTAAAATAAGTCTCGGTGTTGAATTCATTTACAAGTGGCTCAAAATAATTTATTCAAACACCATTTTTATCGCAAAAATTTTTGGTAGAGTGAAAAATGGCTATTTTGGAATTTCTTAAAACCGAATTTATAAAATTAAATTTTGGGTTATCACAGGAGCAGACTGAACCGGCTTTACGGAGTCCGTGGGTACGGCGGGTGTACATGGCTGCAAAACAGGTTCAGCCCAAGGGCGAGGCTGCGGAGCCGGAGGTGCTTGCAAAACAGTCTTAGTAGCAAAGGGAAAAACTGTCTCATCAAAGCGTACGTGCCTGCAAACATATATCTTATTAATCTGTAAGTCCATGCACATATACCCCCGGAAAGAGTCAAGATAACCTAAGAAGACACAAGGAGAGGATCTGTAGGTCATTTTATGACGATTGTATGGTCTCAAGTGAGGATAACACATACAACCAAAGACACAAAGAAAAGAATAAGATGGAGGTGATTTATGTAACATAAGATGGGGATTGGAATTATTCAAGACACTAGATGGCCTTCTATTTATCAAATAAACAGCAGTCTCAAAAGCAAAATCCCAAAACCGAGACGGAACAAAAGCATAAGCCATAAGAGTTAGCTAATTTCAACAATATGCATATGTCTCCTTTCAACACGACCATTTTGCTCATGAGTGTATGCACATGGCTGCTTATGATTAATGCCTAATTGCACGAATAAGGAGTGTAATTTCTTGTATGCAGCTCTTAGATCAGATTGAATGGATTTTATCTTACGATTGAAGGAACGTTCAACCATAGCACGAAATTGATCAAAAATGACATAAAGATTAGATTTTAATTTCATGGAAAAATACCAAGTGTAACGAGAATGATCATCCACAAAGATAACAAAATAACGATAACCACTAGAGGATAACAAAGGAGCTGGACCCCAAATATCATTATATATTAAATCAATAATATCTGAACTAGTAGACTCAACACGTGGCAAAGAGAAACGTGCAGATTTACCCAATTGACATGCAAAACACAAACTAGAATTACAACGAATAGTACGACTAGACCCACTAACCGAACAGGACTGAAGAACACGACTAAGGACACGCTGATGTGGATGACCAAACGATCATGCCAGACTGAAGCAGAGGCACAAGCAGAGAGAAACGCGGAAGGTGACGGACTTGAAACTTGTAATATAATGTATATAGCCCACTAGAACTATTGCCCCGAAGTAAAATGTTTGAGACTATACCATTAAATTATAAGGTGTTAAGTAATTATAATTCATCATATATTGATACTTCTAAACTCTAAGACTTTTAAACGAACACACATTGAGTGTTATAGTGTTAAACACTTGTATATAACGTTATTAATATTGTACTATATGTACCAGCAATAAAATTGTGTTATTTTTATTATTATGTTGGGCATCGACTTAGTGTGCTGAGTTTAAAATCCTACCATTAAAATTTGACGCTAACTATTACGCAAATATAATGAGGAAATAAAGTAGAATTTAAATTCGGATCTTCGATTTGAGAAATAGAATTTAAAATGATAGATTTTTAATATAACGTATAAATTAAGTATCAACCAAAGACCTTATGATTAAGCAACATAATTGTGTCTTTCTAAATGGAAGGTCGCAGATTCAAACAGATACTACACTGAAACAGAGTAAAAAAAAAAAAAAAAGTCTTTGACCTTAAAATTCTAAATTAAATATACTTTTACAAATTTTGATGGACTACTACTATTAATACTTTTTATTTATAGTATATTTTTATTCCAATAAAATTTATAATCTGTCATATTTTTATAGATGATAATAAATTTATGTATTGTAATTGAAAAATAATACGGAGTAATAAATTAAGTTGCCACAAAAATGGTATATTATAGATTTTTTAAAAAAAAACTAGTATTTGCACCCGTGCGATGCACGGAATTAATTTGTTGTAATATATTAAGAATATATGAATCGATATATAATTATTTAAATTAGAACATCAAATATTATATAGTACAATTAAAGATATAGTTTGGATCGTTTATATATTTTGATGTTATCCCCATTGCTTGAATTTGTGCAAATAATTGCTCAAATTAATAGCTAATATCTAGATGTACGCATATTGTGCTATAACTTTGAAGATTTTATTTATCATTGTTTAGTATTTTCATAAATTAGGCAAATGTGTTCGTTCTCTAACAACTCAGTTATAAAAATGAATTGTCATCCTTCTTCATTTGTATGGAAGATATATTTTTTTTGTCTACATATATAGCAATTTTTTCATTTAAAAAAATATTACTCTTCAATTTTCACTAAGGGTCCGTTTGGAAAGCATGAAAATGACTTTTGAAAAATGTTTTTTGAAAAATGACTCATTTTTCGGAAAACATTTTCATTTTCCGTGTTTGGTTGCATTCTAGAAAATATAAGAATAGATGGAAACTGAGGAATCGAAGGCAACGACGGCAGCGAAGGCAACCACGTTTTGAGCGTTGGCGGAAAATGACTTTGGCGTAAGTCATTTTCTGCAAAAATGCCTACATTTTCCCCAGTCAACGGAAAATGTTTTCCGTTGACTGGATTTTCATACTGCATCCAAACACTGAAAATTCGAAAAACATTTTCAGAAGTCATTTTTCGAGTTTTCAAACGGACCCTAAGTAATGTAATATTAAGAGTTTTATGTGTGTCTATTGTGAAGATTAAAATGATAATTAAAACATTTTTGGCCTTTTCTCTTCTTCTGGCCTATACTTTTACTCATCCATCATTTCCTGTAACTCTTCACCGCCCAGCAATTCCTTAAAGTTCCAACTCCTTATGAGATAATGTTAGATCATAATTATGCTAATAGTTTCATTTCAAAATGTTAAATTTTAATATGTAAACAAACCTATTTAAATTTAAAACTATTTAAATTTTATGAAGATGTCATTTTTAGTCTATCTACATTTATCAACTAACTTATAAAAAAATTAATTTTACCAAACTCTTTTAAGCATAATCACCTAGCTTAACAGCATTTCAATTTTCAGCTTCTAACTTATAGCTTTTCAACCTTCAGCTACCTTTTTAGCTAGGTTTGCCAAACATAACCTAAGTTGTCAACTAGTTCAATTCTAACATCTAGTACAAAACGGTTAACCCTATTAAGAAATTTGTGGGAACTTGATAAAAAAAAATGATTAATCGCTTCTCACTTTAAAAAGAAGAGAGAAAAACTTTACTCGAAAGAGATAGTCCGTGCATTAATGGGAGAGAGCTTCATCCGAATAAAGTACTTTAACTTGAAGATTTAATACATCAATTTGGTGAATGAGTTGAATCGAGAACAACAAATCAAGTTAGTCAAGATTATTCTTCTTGGTTCGTTAGGCTAAATTATTTCAAGATCGCCTAATGGGAGGTTAAGACATGACGCTAATGAGTGGGAGGCCCCAAGGTCTCTTGATGGGGAGATCAAACAACAATCCTTCAGCAAAGTCACTGCAAAACAGAGCTAAGTAATTGAAGCTATCTTTGTGTGCATTGCTCTTCGACCATAGGTGATTGGGGTGAATTAATGATTGGACAATTTTTTCCCTCTAAACATATCTTTGTATGCATTGCTCTTCGACCATAGGTGATTGGGGTGAATTAATGATTGGACAATTTTTTCCCTCTAAGCATAGGAGTGTTTATTTCTGAATTGAGTTATCAATTGTTGTGTTCTTTACATGTTTTTCTTACAGTTACGTTCAATCTGTATACTCATTATGTTGTAACTAAAAACTGAGTCAGTTCAACATTTAGTTCATGATTAAAACCAGTACAATGAAACTTGATTTTGCATAGTTTGAAAGTATTTGGTTAGATTAAATTCTCACTATTAGATATTTTGAGACTTAACGATACACATCTTGTTCTTCAAAATTGTATTTAAAATTGACGGTATTCAATTCAAAATTTCCACCTACCATACCAATCTTATAAGCTTTTTCATTAAATTGACATTTTCTCCCTACTTATCATTTTGGAATTTATACTATTGATTGATTGATTCCCTTTCATTCTCATTTATACCAAATATATATATATTGAAATTCACAATAATTCTATTCTAGCAAACCAAAACTTGGAATTTAATTAAATTCCTCTTTATTTTCATGTTATTCCTCTGATCCCCTATGAAATTGAAATTCTTTTCCCTCATAATTTCTTCCTTCCAACCAAACACCCCATTGAAGGGTATATTTGAATTGCAAATATATATTGACTTACTCTGAAGATAGTGTTCGAAAATAGCAGATAATAATAATAATATTATATTTAACCTAAGAATATTATACTAATACAAGAATATATATAGGTGTTTATAAGTGAGATCGAAGTGGTTTTCAGTCAAAAATGAGTGTAAGTAGAGAAATAATTTGGGAGGAGGGGATTAGCACGTCTTCTTCCTTCCAGTAGGGTATGTTTCTATTGCTTCTTGTAGCATTGTCTCCATTCCTTTTAGCTGCAAAATTGTATCATGTACTCCTGATAAAAACCCATTTATCGCCTCCTCTGTTAAGCCTTCATCCTCCTTCATACCAAGCCAGAACAAATAACATCACAGCAACAACAAGCAATAATAGTTAAAAATTGCAGCAACAAGCAACGATAATCTTAAGCATTCCTCACAGATCAAAAGGAAATTCACTCCACCATAGCATTTTAGGATTGGCATAGGAGCCACTGTACCCTGATATTTCAGTATTGACATTGAAGTAATATGGTTGCATTGCAACTTTCACCACCAACCTCATAGTAGTTGAAACTCTCACATAATCCACTTCAACAATTCCATCCCAGTTCATCACCTCATACATATCCACATTTTGAGCAATAATTTTAACTAGATTATTCCTATGCATGCCAATAGGAGCCAAATGAGAAGCAACATAATCTATTACCTCAAGCATTGGTCCAGATATCAATATATCACCTTCGAATACAAAATAAAGGAAATAGGACTCAAGTTAATGGAGCATTATTTGCAGCATAACAGAAATTGAGGGGATGAACATAGAAATTCTAGTCTATAGGCCACTATGGTGATAAATAAACAAGGATTACAACAAAGAATTGCATGCCTAATCTCGTGATATATATATATATATCAATTCCAAATTCTTCAAGCACAAAATGCATCTAAAGTCTCTAATTTCCCATATTTTCATAAGTAGAAATTGATTTATGCCCTTGAAATCTTGACTCAACAAATTACAAGACATTAATCTCAATAACCCTTGGCTGGATAATTTATACCATTTAGGCATTAATCAAGAAATTACAAGACATATATTCATGGAGTTCTCATGAGAAGCAGTGAAAGTAGAGAAATAATTTGGGAGGAGGGAATTAGCACGTCTTCTTCCTTCCAGTAGTCTATTGCTTCTTGTGGCATTGCCTCCATTCCTTTTAGCTGCAAAATTGTAGGTTTAATCACAACCACTGCTTCTTGGTTTTGATATAGAAACCTAGAATGTAACCACCAAAAACAGGAGTAAGGTCTCTCTATATATAACTTGGCATCTTTTGCTACAAAGGGAACTGGATAATCCACGACAATGCTGGTTTTTGCCCACTCGTGATTCTGAAGCACCCAAATCTTGATATTATTATTCTCCTCATCTTGGCTGTAAAGAGATAGCTTTGAATCCCATTCTCTTGGCTCCACATTGTCCCAATCTGAGAAGAGAGTTTCTGGGATTTCTTCACTTTCACACCTCTCATTCTCTGCGTTGACAGACAGAATTTTCTTGGGTTCATTGTCCATGGTGACCACATGGAAAACGTTTCCGATGCTCAAAGAGTATATCTTAGAGCTAATCTTCCGGAAGAGGAAGCTTATCCGGTGAGAATTATTATTATTCAGAGGTCTCCACGCCGCATCAGCGCCCACTGTTATCGCTCTGAATCGTCGCTCCAAAACCGACTTCCCCTCCTGCGAGAAACTTATCACTTTACAGCAACTTTTTCCGACGAAAAACATTCGGGCGAGCGTACAATAAGTGCCGCCGATGACGGGTAGGTATACCGCTTGCCTCGTCGCTGGGTTCCTTATGCGAAACCTTTCTAAGAGCTCTCTACTGAGATCTTGTTCCAGCACTAACCCCTTCTGTGTATCAATACAGCAGAACACCTCCCTCTTCTGCGTAGTATCATCGATAAAGGTGTTTTCCGGTACATGCATATGTTGATAGCGGTAACAGGTGGTGGCGCGGCGGTGATGCTTCTCAATCAACTCATCGTCCCGTTCAATAATGTGGCGCCATGTCTTGCATATGGACTTGAATCTCAGTAATGATACCACCGGCAACCAGCTCAAAATCTCCGCGATTATATCGTCCGGCAGACACCAAGAAGACATTCTACTATACTATTGGGAAATAAGGTAACAATTCAATGTGGTAGTATTGAGTATTGAGCAGATGAACAGAACTACGTTAATTTTCAAGGTATTTAAATATATATATATATGAAAAGTAAACCTAAGAACATTAATTAATTAGAAGTTGTAAAACATAAGGAAAGTGATTTCCAAAATAATAAGGAAACCATATTCTAAAAGGACTGACATTCTTCGGAGTTTGACTGCACTACTTCACATATACGGAGTATGAGATAACACATCTCCAAATTTCATAGTACATTATAATTGTTATACCATCAATTAGGGTTTACATTGTATTATGGACTCTAATCCAAAATAAAATTTAGATTATTTACCTACAGTAAGCATATAATATATCTTCATTTATTAAATTATTAGTTTTTTTTACCCGCTTTGTGCGAATGGGATAATGTCCCGTGATTATTTTTAAATAAGTATTTCAAAGTATATCAATGAAATATTATATAGGAGATATTTATACAAGCACATCCGCCTGCAAATCATCTAACATATCTAGATCAATAACTTTACTGCAAATAGCATTGAAAAAAAAAAAAACAAAGTTTTGTTATTGCTTGTCTAACATGTTTTGGTAAGATGTCCCGAATAACAATAGGTAACATGTGTTGCATTAATACATGACAGTCATGAGACTTCATGCCAACCAACTTAAGGTCCTTCATCAACACAAGTTTTTAAATATTCGATGGATAACCAGAAGGAACCTTGACACCTTTTAAACAGACACAAAAACTTGTTTTCTCTTTTTTGGACAATGTATGACAAGCTGGAGGCAAGTATGTCCGTTTTCCTGATTCTTGTGGTGCTAACTTATCCCGTATTCCCATTTCAAACATATCTTTTCTAGCTTTAATACCATCTTTTGTCTTTCCTGGAATGTTCAACAGTGTTCCAATGATGCTGTCACAAACATTTTTCTCAACATGCATCACATCAAGACAATGTCTAACTAATAAATGCTCCCAATACGGTAGATCCCAAAATATAGACCTTTTCTTCCAAAGAGTCTTCTGAGTAGTCTTACAAGTCTTGCCAAAATCAACATCTACATTCTTAACATGTTCACAAATCGCGTGTCCAGATAAAGGCAAACGAGCTACTAGAGTCTCAGATTTTCCATTGAAAACATTTTTCTTCTTTCGATAAGGATGGTCAATAGGATGAAATGTCCTATGGCTCATAAACACATTCTTTCTACTGTTACTCAACCATAGACTGGAAATTTCATCTTCACAAATAGGACATGCCTTAGCTCCTTTAGTAGTACGTATAACATGATAGGTTACCGTATGCTGGGAAATCATTTATTGTGCAAAAGATCATTGCACGTAAGGTAAAGTTGCTTCGTGTATAAGCATCATACACCTGCACACCTTCATTCCACAGCATCTTTAAATCCTCAATAAGCGGTGCTAGATATACATCTATGTCATTGCCTGGTTGTTTAGGCCCTGATATCAACAACGACAACATGATGTACTTTCGTTTCATACACAACCAAGGTGGAAGATTGTAGATTACTAAAAGAACTGGCCAAGTACTATGTCGACTGCTCATGTTACCATGAGGATTCATTCCATCCGTACACAATCCAAGTCTAAGATTCCTATTTTCACAACCGAAATCAGGACACCTCCTATCAATATTCCTCCATTGAGGTGAATCAGCTGGATGCCTCAGTTTTCCATCTTCTTTTCTCCCAATAGCATGCCATTGCAAATTTTTTGCCTCTCTTGGATTAGCAAACATGCGTTTAAATCTTGGTATTACTGGTAAATACCATAATACTTTGGCTGGGGGACCTTTCTTATTCTCACACACATCATCAACATCTTTCTTTTTATAACGTGATGTCCCACACTTTGGACACACATGCAAGTCTTTGTATTCTTTCCAATACAATATACAATCATTTGGACATGCATGTATCCTTTCAATGTTCATACTCAACGGACACAACAATTTTTTTGCTTCATAAGTTGAATTAGGAAGTTCATTATCACTAGGAATCATGTCTTTTAATAATGTAATAATAATAATAATAATAATAATAATAATAATAATAATAATAATAATAATAATAATAATAATAATCCAAACAACACTACATACAAAATAAAATTAAAATTAAAAAAAATAAGAAGAAGAAGACAAAGGGCTCATCTTTGTAAATGATGTGGGATCATTTTGATCCCACATCGACAATGTTAGGAAAGATGAGCTCTTCAGGTCCTATATATATAAGAGAAGCAATGCTCATCTTACAAACATAATTGTTTGTCCATCAATGTGGGCAAGTATTAAGACGCCAAAAAACTCTTATTTACAAAGTCTTAGCTTAATGACTTTTTTATTTTAGTTTTTTTTTTAAAAAAAATTATTATTTATTATTAGGGGGTTGGGAAAGGTTAACCCAAAATGTATACGTGTTGTTTTATTTTTAGCAGTTAGGAGTAAAATTGTTGAGTTATTAAATAATATTTTTGGTGTTTTGATTAAAGACAAAATTTTAAAATGACGAATTTGTCAATAATCAAACAAGGCCATTATCTAATAAATATTATGCAATTTAACAAATTAATTGTTCTTAAAATGTTTGATGTCCGTTGGCCCATTAGCTCCTAGCCGGTGGATTTGCAGGGACAATACAAAATGTAAAATACACTATGAGGTAGAGAGAGAGTAAGAAAACACCAGGAAAGATTGTCATTGCATTATGAAGAAACAACCCTTTATAGCACAAGATGATGTAGGTTACAAATCACTACATAATGACTAATCAATCTCAATAAAGGACATAATGTCCATAATCAATATATTTTGTAACACTCCCCCTTGGACATTATTTAACCATATTCATGCCTCATTAAAAACTCACTAGAAAAACCCTGTGGGAAAAAACTCAGTAAGGGAAAAAGAGTGCAACTGTAAACCTTCTGGGTTTAGGTATAAATCATAATAATATATCTTGATCTTCTGGATCAAAGTGAATGAATTAATCTTCTGGACTAATAATTGCATTATATTTAAACTGTTGTTGCTCCCCCTGAAGACAACAACCTTCCTAATCTACGCATACCAATTTTATATACATACTTTTCAAAAGTAGATGTAGGTAAGGACTTAGTGAATAAATCTGCTAGATTTTCACTTGATTGGATCTTTTGGACTCGTAT